AAAAGGGACAATATATTTTCCTTCTGTGTCTTTTTTCTGTTTTAGATAGGATCTCTCTGTTCAGGCCTGGCTAACCTCAGTCTCTCTGGTGCTGGTATGCATTGGGTGCCATGTTGCCCAGTTTATTCAATCGAATGTAAGAAAAACAAAAGTGAAAGAACACTGTTCTTAGTAGAATTGTTTGCATAAAGTTGTGGTAATTAAGACAGTGCGGTATTGACAAAGTAATGCAAATTATCCAATGAACCAGAGCAGAGTTCACAAGCAGATCAACACAGCTTCGGTTCCTTAGTTTAACAACAAATGAGGCCTCAGTGCAGAAGGCACAATGGGAAGGTTAGCCTGGGTTACTTACTCAACTGAGAGTCCCTGGAAAAGATGAAGGTTGATCATTACTTTATATTGTATAGGAAATTAGCTCTAGTGGCATTCTAGAGCTAAACTGTGACAGGAAAGCTTAAGGACTTTAGAATAATAATTAGCAAAAATAAGTTTATGAACCTGGAACGTGCCACACATTTTAAAGGCATGAAAGGCGTTAAAACCAGAAATGCCAAGTTATATTGAAAAATCAAACTCATATTTGTCACGAAGTACCATTGCGAGTTCTCTAACTCATCTAGCCTCAATAGAAGAAGATGCACCTGGTCTTACTGCAACTCAATATGCCAAGGCTGGCTGATATCCATGTGAGGACTACCATTTTCTGACTAGAAGGGAAGAAGGGATAGGTGTGAGGAGAGAGGAGGAGCTGTGATTAGGATGTAAAGTACATAAATCACTTAAAAAATAACATCAACAACAATAATAATGAGAGATCAAGAAAGCAAATAACAAACTGGAGAGGAGAACTGCAGTACATCTACCCAACGAGAGGACCCACACTCTTCTATACAGAGCCACATATCAATATGAAGAGGACACTCCAGATGACAAAGATGAGGGTGCTTCCGGAAACGCAGTAGTAATAAAAAAGCTCTGCTCAGTTTCATTAGATCTTGGGTATATGCAAAATGAAAATATCATTAAACCCCAATGTCAGCTCGAAAGAGTAGATGAAAATGGAGGGCGACCACACGCTCTGGGAAGGAGGAGGAAGGTCTGCAGTTCCCATCTTGTGCTGGGAATGCATGGATATGGTCCTTCTCAAAGATGCCTGGGACTAGCTCATGAATTACCGGTATCATACGGATATTCCCCTCATAAAATGTACTCACAAATATGTATGCACAGAAGTGCCAACTCACAGACCCACAACACCTCTGTGAGGAGCAAAAATACCCGAAAACGGCAGAGGCTGAGAGGCGTTAACTGTTATATCCGCATATAGTTGAACATTACACAGAAAGAGTAACAAACAGAGTGTGACATGATGGATCCCACTTTAGCGAAAGTCAGGTGTTTCGGGGCACATGGCATGTGATCCCATGTGTAAAACACTCAACATGAAGAAGCACTGCCAATAGCCAGGGCGTCTCGGCAGCGCCTTCCTGGTCACGATTCACGACAGGCTGATAGGGCTGTGCATGTGGCCCCCTTTGGGTCAGGCTCTGTTTCTTGACATGACTGTTATTAAGTAGGGTGACCGCTTGTGGATTTCCTACCTTTCTAACTGGCTTAGGAAAATGATCACCATCTATTAGGGGCACAAATAAAGCTGGCAATAGATTACCGCATACAACTCTGTGTCAATCGGGAAGACCCTAGCATCTTCACATAAAATTATAACTGCTGGATGATCCGGCATCCACATTTATGTTTCAGTTTTTGGTTTATAAAACTTCTGGATTGAGGTTTCCCTAGTAAGGGGAACAGGGACTATCTCTGACAGGAACTCAATGGTAGGCTCTTGGACCTTCCCACCCACCAAGGGAGGAGCAGCCCTGCTAGGCCACAGAGGAGGACTTTGCAGCCAGTCCTGAAGACACCCGATAAAACAGGGTCAGATGAAAGGGGAGGAGGTCCCCCCCCCATCAGTGGACTTGGAAAGGGGCAGGGAGGGGATGAGGGAGGGAGGGTGGGAATGGGAGGGAATTAGGGAGCGGGATACAAAGTTAATAAAATGTAAATAGTAATAATAATAATAATAATAATAATAATAATAATAATAATAATAATAAAAACCCTGCTGGGTTGATGAAATGAGAACTAGTTATATTCCAGTTGCAGATGATCTAGGTACAGATGATAGACATATAAAGAGAAACAGCTAATTAGCTACTGTTTCGAAAATCCCAAAGGGATCCCAGCATGGTGCAATGTGATGGCCCTGAGGGGTCTGAGGTAACGGTGGGCCGCGCTGCAGCTCTCCTCTCAAAGATATAACGACATAGCCAAGCACGTGAACATTAGTGTCACACACCATAACAGCTCTGCGCAGCTGTACTGAAGGAGTATCTTCTGTCCTGTGAGAACCATTCGCTGGGCAGAGGTAAAAGCCAGAACAGTACCGGATACCCAACTCCCTCCTGAGGAAGGGACGCATGTCTGACCATCACTGCCATGCCCATGCATGGCTCCACTTACAGATGGCATGAAACAGCATTGCCTCTTCTGGTGTAACACGTGGTATAGACTGGTGAGGCAGACTGCGCCTTACAGTCCATCCATATATGTGTGACATGACCATGCTTCCTTCAACAAATGTGTGCTATTAGAAAGCAAATTATATTCTGTCACAAATTTCATATATATATATATATATATATATATATATATATATATATATATGTAAATATATACGTATATATGAAAGATGCTCCAAATTACTTAAATTAAAAAAAAAACCTATAATTAACGCTAAAACGGGAGCTTTGAGAATAGCCATAAATATGTGACAATCTTCCTTATTGCAAATGAAGTGCTTTGGGAAGTCAAGATGGTCACTAGTCAAATTTGAAAACACATCTGTGAAATGAAAATCAGAAGCTGTGCTCAATACTGCACACAACCTATAAAAAGACCCAGTGTTTACGCCTTCCCATCACGGAGTAAATGAGAACACATTTCAGCTCGTTTTCCTTAAAAAACAAACAAGCCCCCAAGAAACTATTAATAAATGAAAACAGGCATTGATTCAAATGCACACAACAAAATTTTGAAGAGGGGGGAAAAAGATGAAGAATTGCAAGTTAATCTCATAGTATAGGCTTAACAATGTAAGGGCATTGGACAATTACTTAATCTCATGGGGTAACATTTAGTTTTACTGTTTTGTCCCATATAGGCCAGAGACAGAGCAAATGAACTTAATTATAATGGTGAAGAAGGCTGGCTGGATGCAGGAAGTGCCATCTGAGAACACAGTAGGCTAGAACGTGAGCACAGCCTGTATGTTCTGCTGCCGCAGGACAGGCCCCTGGATGCATTTCCCCGAGGCTGACAGACAAGTGCGTCCCACCCACCCACAGCCTGTGACATCAATGCCCTAATGAGAGGCAGACCTTCCCCAAGGGGAAGCGAACACGGTTGAGCTAGAGTGCAGTGAATACAGGAAAAGAATAAAAACATACGGGCATAAGCTTCTTACAAATGGTGCAGAAAAGCACAAGCGCACACTGAGCGAGCTGGAGGAGACTCATCTTTCTCATTATGCAAATGCCTTTCTGCCAGAGATATTTTCTATTCTGGTCAGGTTGAGGCTTATCACTACTCTTACTATGTGAAGCACAAAACTGTGTATCTGTTTTAACAGGAACATCTACATAATTACTCTCTGCAGAAAATTTCAAAAGTGTCAAAATATGAATTAAAACACCAACACTTTTTTTTTCCTAAGGTTTCTTATGTGGTTCCAAAACATGCTGCTTACAGAAATGAAGGCTTGGTGAAATGCATGAGAACATTTGGAGCAGTTTCTAAAATATCCATTACTTATTTAAAGCAAGGCTTAGCTCTGCTTATATTATACAGGAATTCTTCTGAGAACTGTGTAGCTGCATAATGAAAGGCAAGGACCTTAATTGCCCCCCGTTTTCTCAGGAAAAGACCCCGAGTCTTTGTGACTTACATGGAAATGTACAGTCCTTGCAACCCCAGGCTGAGCTTTGTCCCATCCAAAGAGAGAAGTTTCACTCTTGGCCATCTCTGCCCTTTGTTCGGTGTCCACCCAGCCGCTTTTAATCGTTAAGATAACTCAGTTAGGAGACTGCAGTGCAGGTAAACTACCGTATTATCCGGTTGTGTTAATCTCCTCCTCGATTCAGCAGAAAATTTGCCAACAGATCTCCTACCATGTTTCTGGGACCTAACAGGTTAAGGACCACAGTGGTTGAAGACATATCATCCTAACTGCAAGTGATACGTGTTCATGGTGTTATCTGGCTAGATCAAGATATCAGCGCCAAGACAGGGCAGCTGAAGGAAGGCCTTAGGTGGCTGTCACAGGTGGCAGCTTCGCATTGTGCCTGCGCAGAGCAGTCACTGGGAGGCAACACCAAAGTTCAATTACTGTGTTCCTCTTTCCAGTCTCCTCCCCTAGAAACTTCTCATCTATGGCTTCAAGCTCTCTTCCCAGTAACTTTCCGCCTGACCTAATAATAATGTGTATTTTCCTGCCATCCAATTTGTCCACCACAGTGACTTTCCTGGCTGCATTAAGTGGCCACTGGAGAAGCAGAGAGCACACTATAAATGCTGACTTCTACAAGACCAGCTCTTCCCTGACAGAAAGAAGACCGCAGAGATGGCAGAGGCCTTTTCACCTTTAAAAATGAGAAAACTAAGACAGGGGCTTTGACGTAACAGAACTTGTTATTCCCAGGATCGGTAGCATACCATGTGTTATGACTTTGGGTCAGGTTCTTGGCAACATTCCCTACCAGGCTGATGAAGCCAAACACACAGATAGGACATTGTCCACAACAAAAAAGCAAGAGCTGGTTCTCTGCTTTTTGTACCGTTGGGTTTTTTTGTTTGTTTGTTTGTTTGGTTTGGTTTGGTTTGATTTGGTTTGGGTTTTTTGTTTGTTTGTTTGTTTTTTATTTTATTTTATTGTTTACCTCTGAAGAGATTATCCAAGTCAATATCTTCTTTTCCTTTGATTTTCAAACACTTTGCCTGCTGTACAAGTCTGGCAAAGAACAGAAATAAAATCTGGATTCATTATCCTGTGAGGTAAGAATAAATCACGATAGCAGCACAAATTTAAATAGAAACCACGGGGCAAACGACAGCGAATTAGCAGGTGTTCCGCTGCACAGTCTCATTAGAATGTTTCTTGAGTCTCAGATTTAAAGGAAACACGAACCTTTGTTCAGAAACTCTGACTTTGAAAACAAACTTAAAAGCCTTTACCACCACTCATCCCGGAGAACTCTCTCTTCAGGCTCTGAAGAGATGCGGTCTGGGACAGTGGGTAACAGGGTGGTACACGGTAAGTAATAGGCACAATTCCCAACTTCGGCACCTATTATTTCAACCAGAAGATTACAGACACTGTGCCCAAGTAAGTGTATAAAGTCATTTAGTTGCCTTGCTGAATGTCAGAGAATTAATTAACTTTTGCAATGTTGCAGAATGCAGTGAAGGCTAATTTTGTAACTCTTTCATCACAGTACTTCATTAAAAATTGAGGTTCCCGCTTCATAACAAAGACAGAAGTTTTCAAAATGAAACTTCTCCAGGGCTTCTAATTACTTGCTAATTGATTTTAGGTAGGCAAAACTTGCAGCGATTAATTTATCTGCATGTGCTTTTGATTTGAATAAACTTATAACAATTTGCCTTGCACACATATTTTCTCACTGCACTTAATGGTTTCATTTTGTCCTCACTGGCAGGCCTGCGGGTTGGTCATGAAAGAACCGGTGAGGAAAATGACTCAGCTGCCAAAACTCTACCTGGAAATCCAAATTGCATATAGATAAATTGGAATAACTATAGTTTGTGTAAACATGTTTGTCGAGCAGAAGTACACTCTACTCTTTACACAGGTATCTAGTTTTTTTTTTTCTTCCAATCGAAAGAACAAGAAAAAGCATAAATGGAGGCCTTATCTTGGGATGTTCTGCTAAAGTGCAGGAAGAAAACAGTTGGTGCAGAAACCCCTGCTTCATGCCTGTAGCCCAGTTCCTTGATCTGTGACACCAAGCGGATGTTTGAACACTTGGAGTCCAATCTGTGATGTGGAAAGTCAGCATGTCCAAGTGGATTGGTCTGTGCAATTAGCAAAACAATACATCCTAAGAGCACTATTCAGAATGCCATGCCTTCTTTAGCCTCATGCTCTGGACTAGTTTAACAGCTCAATTCATTTTATGTTCTTTAGGTTTCCTGTGCATCGCTGTTGCATCAGGATTTAAGCTTTAGGCGGTGAGTGTCTGATGGGTAGCGTAGGGTGCTGGGTGCCACCAACCCCTGTGCTCAAGAAGATGCGGGAAAAGAACAACTTGAGCTCTGCTCGCCTGTTTTTGTGCATCTTTGGGGATGTTGACCTCTGTTTTATAAATTTTACAGCACTATGAATTATAGGAAGCCCTCTTATAGAATCCCTCTGCAGTCTGTGCTGGTGAAATCTCAGCTGTATTTTTGGCTGTGAGCCTAGCCTTTAATGGCTGAGCCATCTCTCCAGCCCTCATCCCCCTGTAGCTCTCTAAAGGAGACAACACCTACCACTACTCTGTGTCCTCCAGGTGGGGCAGTATTAGTGAACACTATTTCCACACTCATGAGGTTCCAGCCCTTAGACTAGAGGCCTACCTCAGCAGAGGCAGGAGTGATCCTCCATCTTTGTTGAAAAAGGCATGGGACTAGAATCTGAATGTAACTCAGGCGAGTGAAGCTACACCAGACGGTTTTAGGATAGGAGCTGGCAATCAATACTCCACAAGGCAATTTCTACCATGTCTGGCAAGCCGGATTTAACTAGAACACAGCCATAGTTATTGGCCCACTTCCTGCCCATGGCTACTCTCATGACAATGGCTGAGTCAAGAGTTCAACACAGACCAAACTCACATTATTTAGTATCTGGTTCTTTAGAGAAACGTTTGCTGATCATTTTTCTAGAAGCAAGGAAAGCAGCCCATGAAGTTAGCCTGCGTGAAGTGCACATGATGGAAGCTTATTTTTAGGTAAATTCTGCAAGTTTAAGCAACATTCTTTCAGATTTCCCTGCCTTCAGACTGCATTCTGTCAAGATGGATCATCCCACCAAAAGACAGACAGACAGATGAGCTGTCAGGGCATAAGGGCCTGCGCACTGCCAGGAAAATGACTGAGAGATGGGCAGGTAAGGAAGGGGCAGAGAGGCTGAACAGTATAATCTATCTCTCTCTCTTTGTCTTTTTCTGTGTGTGTGTGTGTGTGTGACTGCATCAACGTTTCAGAAGATGGGCTTAAATCAAAGCTCCTTACTTGAGACACAGTGGGGCAGGAGTTTGCAGGAAGGGGCACAGTCCTGTGGAAGGCCAGGTGGGAAAAACTGGAGATGGAGTATGATTGTGGGGAGAGGTGGAGCCAGGAACAAATACTAAAGAATGTAGTAGTTTTTCATGGTTTCATGTATCTGTAAGGTTGACACTGACTTACTCATTTACAGGACCATGCCATGACCCAGGAGTCTGTGCTGTTAAAGAATTTTTTTCTATATATTTGATTTATAAATAAACAATAATCAAAACTTTAGAAATATGTTAGTATGAAGTACCTGCTAAAGAAAAGCATGTGTGAAATGTTCTCTGTGGTACATTTACATGGGAAAACATGGTAAAGTTCCTGTCAGTAGAGAAATAGGCTGAATGGACAAATATAACCATGTACAGAATATGATGCGGCTGTTAAAAATATGACACATTGAATGGATGTGCTTCTGATGCATTCTTTGGTGTGTGTATACACGTGTGTATGTGTGTGTGAGAGAGAGAGAGGAGAGTTGTTTACTTAACTTGGAGCTTACAGAATGCCTAGGTTGGCTGATCAGTAAGTTACAAGGATCCACTGGTCTCCACATCTCAAACCTGGGATTGCAGGTATACTAAAGCTGGTTTGCAGCTTTATTGGTGTATTACAGCTGGGCTGCAGGTGTACTACAGCTGGGCTGCAGCTGTGCTAAAGCTGGGCTGCAGGTGTACTATTACTCTAGACTTTTATGTGGGTCCTGGGTGTCTGTGCTCAGGTTCCTCAAATGTGTGCACCAGTCACTTCGCTGCATTAGCTACAACCCAAGAACCACATAAGAAATTCTTAAATATAAGAATTGTTGCAGATTAAAGCCATTTAATATAAAGTTAGTAAAGAGGGAGGTTCCACGACACACTTGTATGAAGATGTAGACATTGAAGAGGCACGCGTGTTAGCATAAGTAACTTGAGTTTGCAGAGATGAAGAACAGAATTGGAATGAGAAATGTCTGACCTTTAATAATTCTCTTTAGTCTATACCAGTTAGGCTGCTGGGTAGAAGTGGATTATGAATATTTTATGTTTTAATGTTTTATGCATTTGCTTTTGATTTCATGTGTATCAGTGTTTGGCTTTGCATGCTTATCCTGTGTGCCATGTGTGTGCCTGCTTCCTGTACAGGAGAGAAGGCATCAGGCGCCCTGGAACTATTGTGAGCCATCATGTAAGTGATAGCATTGAACCCGCATCCTCTAGAGGAGCAGCCAGCACTCTGAACTGCTCAGACATCTCTCATTACAGTTTAATTATAACCATATTATAATTATAAATTTATATATAAAATATTATATATTGTAATATTATAATTATAATGTATAACAAGTATATCATTATATGTTTTAATTTTGCTTATCTACATTGTCTAATTTTCCTCTAGTAAACAAGTAATGCTTTTGTAATAAGAAAATCAGGTTACCTGTCCCTAGTTTACTATGCAAAAAAACAGCAAATGATTTTTTTTAAAGCCAGATCAGGTATAGAGATGAGGAAAAAATGCCTTCTAGTGGTTTAACTTTTCTGAGGTCCAAGAACACTAGTGTCTGCTTTACACAAGGAACTGTGCTGGCCTTAGAACCCAATGTTCTGTAGAATTTAATCACTAGGAGCCCTGGCCAAGGCAGGGCACCGGTGATCCAGAGATTCACAATAAATTAGAAACTGCTTGATAGGAATCAGCCCAGAAAATACCTCTTTCATGACCTCACTGAGAACTTGGCTGGGCATTGTAAGACATTCAGCAGGACTGAGGTTTGCTGCCCAACAGCTGCTAAAGGACCAGGACCAGGGACCCAGTGAGGATTGAATCCTTTCACAGTACCTCAGCTGACGGCTTAGTTCATCTTAGATCTGCATAGGCAGCAGGGCCTTTTGCTTTCTCCCTCCTTGGTGTCTCTTAATGCCCAAGGCTTGAGGACTCTGCTGTAGGGAGCTGAGAAGTACACTTTAGGCAACATCCCTTGTCACGATCCTGACCCCCTCCTTCCCCTTTCTTCATCTCTGCTCTTCACTGCAGCGGCAGCACTGAACCACCTCTTTGCAGCATCCATCACCCACACGCTCACTGCCCGGTCCACAGTGACTAGAACCCCCTACCTTAACTTCCTCCTGTCCTGCCACTGACCAGCTAGGATGATTTTCTTATTACTAACGAAGAGAACAACATAACTTTCTTGATGTTTTGTTCACCACTACAATTTAAATGCTCCATCCCAGATGTTTTTGGAAGGAACAAATGATGAGGGAATGAATGGATAGCTTTAATTTCAGGATCCAGCTGTGGCCAGGGTCCCACAGTTAGCAAGGTAAGTGCTATTGAGCTATCTATAGAAGAGAACCTGATTTAGTTCTGATAGTGTTTTAACACTGATTAGTCCATGGTGTAGAATAGTGAGCAGAGGTCCGAGGGAAAGGCACACAGCAGAATTGCCAGCAGCAGTGTTAATGAGGAGGCACGGTAATTTGCTTTGGTTTCCTCATCCCTACATTGAAGACTTTGGTGATCATGGATTCCTTGATTAAGGGGCTTAATTTAGTTACAGATGCTGAGTTTTCTCTCCAACCAAGTAAATGGAGATCTAAGTTCCCGCTGGTCCCAAGATGATTGTTACACAGAGAACTGTAACTAGGCCAATTGTAAGCTTTTAAAGTCAGCAAATTGTATAAAAGTAGTTTTAAAAAAATAGATATAGAATTATTGCTTCAAGAGTGTCTGCCAAATGTCAGTCCAGGCAGCAGGTGTGTGCATGTATCAACCATATGTGTGTGTATGTACTAATTCAAATTGTTATGTATGAGCTCTCACATTTGCCTCCATTAAAGCAGAGGAGACTCTCAGAAGAGCATGAGTGTCAGTGACCGACTCGGTGAACTCAGATGCACTAAAGAACCTATACCATAAGACGGTAATGAAGCAAAGCCTGAGGTCTGGGACACCAATTCTCCCGCCTGGCATAACTCTACCTCTCAAGGCCTCCAATCCTCGGGCACATGTTGGCCATTAAATTGCTTTCGCTTGCCGAGTGCTGCTAAGTACCAGATCTAGATGTCAGAGACACAGAGACATAAAAGATAGTGTCTTCTGCAGAGGTTCCCACATTGGGGAGAACAGCCGAGAAAGCTGGAGAGAGCTGAGCCACGAGCAAGGAAGAAACTGAGCATAGAGGAACCTGGGGCAGAGGGTAGTGATGGATGCCCAATGCCAAGGTCCAAGCAACGCAGTGACTGGTGATGACAGGGTGAAAGGGGGCACCCACAAGTGGTCCCAAGCAAGAGGGAAGCCTGGTGGATGAAAGAAAATCCAGTGAAGAACACAGAAGGTCAACATGAGGAAGAACTAACTAACATTGTCGTACTTTGGGGAACAAGCCCATGGAAGGTGTTTTATGTTACAGCTAATTTGAGAGGTGGAAAGAAACTAGTTGGTTCACAGGAGGGTGATTTATTAGCGGTATCATTAAGAGATAATTCCATATGTGCCGTTTGCTCTGATTATCGCAATTTTTGCAGCTCATTTCTATTATCCACACAGACCTCGAGGAGAGCATAAATGAACGAAATGGCAGACATTAGGGAAAACAACGTGGCGTTTGCTCAGCCTCTTAAATTAAAAAAGTAGCAGTAGCGCTGGATAAAAAATGACAGAAATTTCAGTCCATGGTGAAGCTATCAATTGGGTAAATTTAATAATATGTTGAATGCTGCTTTGGGGAGGAAAAGGAGTTATCAAAGAATACCTAGGTGAGAAAAAAAAATTCTTTCCTCTGAATTGAAACAAAGAGCTAGCAGACAAGGCAGATGCAGCTGCATTCCATAGGAATTCTGTTTACCATGAAGACATTTAATGGTTCTGATTTTACGGCCATGCCACTTGTATGTTATAGTGAAACATGTTAAAGGTGGGGTATTTGACATTATAGGAGCCCTCAGGGTCACTTGCTAAGAATCTCACCACAGGAATTGTTTTGTTTTTATAAAATAAGATTAAAACTATGCTTTTAAAATATGTGTTTTATGTTTGAAAATATTTTTATAAAGCACGTTTTTAAAATGTATCAGATTGGACCCTAAACCTCCTAGCTAGAATAATAAAACAGCCATAGTACCCAGCCAGGTCTTCTCAAACCTCACCCTGTCTTTCCTCTCCTGGGCTGAATGTAATTGAACATACGTAGGTTTTGAAATCAGGCATTTCTGTATTCAACTCCCAGCCTCTCTACTGAATTGATTATCTGTGTCAATTTGAACACATTGCATAAACTTCCTGAACCTTCAGTTATCAGTGTGATAAAATCAGAGTGAGAAAAATACACAGCCAGGGTTTTCATAGCAATAAGATAAAATTAACAAAATGAAACAATACGAGTTATTTAGCCCAAAGGGAGTGGGAGATTTTAATATTAAGATGATGGCGATCAGTGATATGTCCTATGTTTTTAGGCCACCAGACAGCAATATGCTGGCTGCAATCAGACAGCTTAGGTCTGGGTGCCAGATCAGCAGCCAGGAGGCCTCTCCTTCCCAGATACAGCTCTCCTCACCGCGAACAGCAGTGCTGCATTATAAGAATCTATAAACCATCAAGTGCATCAAAGATGCTTTCTTTCATCCAGGCAGTACACTGCTAAGTGAAAAACTCATACGAAGCAATTTGTCTCCATTTAATGCACCATGAATATACCATTCCTTAGTCTGGCAACGGCAAAATAAACATTTTATTAAACTAAAACAAGAATATCCATTTCGTATAAACTAAATATATAATTTCAAGAGTTGCCACACAATTATGATATTGTGAGTCTGAGTTTTAAAGTTTAAAAAAAAACATGAATATATGACTTTTTACAAGTAAATCTTACAGACGTGTTATATATATCCTACTTGGTTTTAAAATGTGGGCCTTTAATAAAAAAGTAACCATAAATAGACTTTCTACTATGAAGGCAAATAATAGAGTCATAAATTTGCTACTAGTGTCCTCACTGCCAAGACTAATATATATGTACACACATATATATACACATATATGTATGTCTTAGTTTTAAAAAATGTTTATATTACTTATTTTTGTGTTGTTAGACTAAGTAATAGTATATTCATGGTATACATATATGTATATATGTGGTTATATATGTGTATATAATATGTATATGTATGTATACATGTGTATGTGTGTGTGAGTGTATGTGTGTGTGTGTGTGTGTGTAGCATTTCCATTTAAAGTGTAAGAAGTCTGGCGATGCTATGGGGACAAAGTTTGTTTAAGTAAAAGATGACAGAATCCTGGGCAGAGCTCAGGGCAGAGAAAACACTTGGAAGTCAGATGTGCCCGGTAGTGTGCAGTCAATCTTGTGATTTCAAAGATCTGGTTAGAGCAATGGCAGCTTCAGGGAGGAAAGAAGGAAGGGAGTGGAGCTGTATTTTCTTTTTTGCATACAATTAGCCCATGTGTCATGTGTGTCATTAGTGTTGGTTTCCCTGATCTTCCTCCCCCCCCCCCAAGAGTCTGGAAATCACATTCACAAGCACGAACAGGCTTAGAAATAGGCATGAGTTGAAAGTGGGTGTGACTCTGTGAAAGCAAATGCTGCTTGGATGGACGCCTGATGTGCAAGGACTTGCAATCTGACAGCAAGAGAATGATTCAGGGTGAGCACCGTGCACCCTGATTTTCTGAAGCCACGTAGACAGTTCTGAGCGTACACAGAACAGAACTGGATAAAATAGGGTCACCTGAGACTTTTTCATTCAGTCATTAGCTGACCTTCTTCTGCTCTTTGTGCTAACTGTTCTACTTGTTAGACTTTCCTGTGAAGCCCCTCAGAGATAGCATAGCACTCAATAAAACACCAAAGGAGGAAAATCCCTGTGAGGAATTTGAGATGGGGTGACTAGATATCTGTGTTTGCTGGGGGGGGGGGGAGGGAGGAAATGGCTCAGCTAACCTCTGGGATGATATAATACCTTTTAAACGCAGTTCAAAGACCTGCTTAGTGTCTGTGGCTCATGGCACTGAATATTAACATCTAAAATATTTACACGAGAGACTAGCTGGATCGTCACTTGGTCACTTGGAACAAATGGAACAGAATGCAGCAGAAAGGAAGAAAGCACATGGGTGCACTTGTCTCTATGACTTTGGACTAAATAGTGTTCTTGGAGAAAACAGTTTAAAAAAATGAAAAGAAAAAAGGACAAAAGCAAAGCCTTCTTCAATCAGGACAAAGAAAGAACACACACGCTCTCAGCTCCTTAGAGTTGTAAACAGTGTGGGTGTGACCAGCAGGAAGGGACAACCAGAGCCTGTGAAGTTCCAACAGCAGAGTGGGTGTGCAGTAAATAACGGAAATGCAAGACGCAGCTACAAAAATAGAGGCGTGCATGTGCACACGGAAGGGAATCATGCCACTAAGAGGAGGCTGCGTTGCAATTGTGTACTGAACCATTGAAATCAAAACTGCTCTTTAACAACAAAAAAATTCCCTCCACATGTTCTAACCATTGGCATAAAAATAGAATAAATCCATAGGCCTGCATGCAATATTCATGGGAGAGTGTATCTGCCGAGTCCAGTTCTCCCAATGAACATGTGCACCTTGGGGACTTGGGGTGTGATTAAACAAAGTGGGAGTAAGGGAACTCATGTGATAAATTCCCGGAAAGAGTGGTTCTGAAGTATGAGGCCGGGAGTAGCCTCTTCTATCATCTGCAGACGGTGGAGAGGTCTCAAGGTCTGGATAAGACCCTTGATGTGGGTTTGGGAAACATGCCAGTTGTCACTTCACTCTGGAGCCATTTGCACCTTGGTGTTTGTCTGGCTCGCAGTCGTACTGAATGTTTGATTTCTCTGTGTTTGCACTTCCTGGCAGGAGGATGGGGTGCTTCAAAGCAAAAGATGGTCGACTGCTGTTTGCATTCTAAGAATATCAAATATAAGGTTGCATTTGAAGCATCTCCGCAAATGATTGCAAAAATCAACATTGAAAATGGCTACTGAAAATCGTAGGTTTATATTTAGGAGAGGAGAAGCAATGTGTGACCACCGAGTTAGAACAGAGAGCGAGGAGATTCAGAACTTGCATCTCAGGCAGGTGTGAATTAAGGACGACACAGAGAAGTAACAGATCTGAGAGGAAACCCTAACGTGACTCAGCAGATGTAAATTCTCAGCTTGTGCCAAAAGATTTCACTGTTGAAATGAGTCCAAGGAACAAAACAAACAAGCAAGCAAGCAAACAAACAAACAAACAAAAAATGCTTGCAAGACACAGGGGAATCTTTTAGGATTGTACTTATGAGACGTACTATCTGCTGCTCACATGCAATTTGTACATTCAGAAAAGAGGTAACTTCAAATATTTGAAGAAGGAGCCAGTTAACTCTATGAGATAATAAATATAACACTGTCTGGTGGCATTACCTTGGCAAAATCTAAGTAACTAATTACCAGAAATAAATTTCTTCTATATTCGAATTCCATATGGTTCTCTATTCTGGTTCAAGTTTCCCAAGTTTCCTACCTGGACTGACTGTTCGCTTTTTCACATTTTCCGTTGAAATTCAAATTACAGAGGTTTTCTGACGTGGCATGGGAAGGCTCTGATTCCAGATTTGTCTGTGTTTGTTCTCTCGGGCGATCCTGAAGCAGGGCCTCCCGTTTCAAGTTCATGTCTGAATATGGGCATCCGAAAGCACTAGTGCAGGGAAAAAGAGAAACGCAGCTGTTAGTTCACCGACAAACCAGGGTGCCTTGTCATCAGACTAGACGTACGTTTACTATTTCAAAACGAGAGGCTTTCTTCTTCCACGTGTATAACTGCTCACGGTTTCCTCCTGCACCGCCTTTTGAGAAAGGTAGTCTCCAGTTCAGGGAGAGTATTATAGCAGAGCATTGTAGACAGATTCATGGGCAGATGCAGCAGTTGTGACTTTGGAAACCCGCAGACCTAAGAAGAGTGCCCAGATGTGCTTCCGATGGCACAGCGAGGGTGTCACACATGGCTTCCCTCAGCCTGTGCTCGCCAGCATTCAAACCCTTGTTAGCTGCCTGTGCCCCCCAAGCTGGCGTAGCTAAGAACCTCAGCCAGTCCCAGAGGACCCGAGGCCTTCCGTGCTCAGGTGCCACGTGTTCAGAAACATTATGGCTGCCTTCTCTGCTCAAGCCTCCTGGACGTGTTCTGGAGGATTGCCATTGAGGCTGATGGGGACGCTCCTAGGTGGCTAGGGAGGCCACCGCCCGGGTGGCCTGGATACATCTTCTCGATCCTCATCAGTGTCAAGCTGAGTCCTGGACTCACAACGTTGGCTCTTGGTAGAAGGGTCAGCTAGGGGCACATGGCCTGGCCCGTCAGGCTTTTACATTTCTGTGCACATGCCCTGTCTCCCCAAGGCCTTCAAACACTTGTTCCTGCCGGCTACTAAGTAGCTACTGCCAGGGAAGGTGAACACACAACAGAGATTCTAGAGCACCATCGGGGGAGGTGCTCCTTGTCTCGGGGGAGGTGCTCCTTGTCTCGGGCTCAGAGTGGAAGGAGAGAAAAGCAGGGCCAAGTCGTAAGACTTGCTGTGATCGACAAAACACACACACACACACACATGCACACACATACACACATGCACCTACACATGTCTGCATATGCACACACACAAGAGTGCACACACACACATGTATTCACATGTGTGAAAATACGCATACACAAACAGACACACACGCACATGTGTGAATGCACACAAGTACACACTCACACACATACATGCACACACACACCTTGTAAGACAGACGTCCTCACAGTCTCACATTACGGTCCATTAGACCGTGACTTCTATGGCCACCACAGTGTCAGAAGAGGCTACATCTGGAGGAGACCACGGCCAAGTGCATTGATGCAGAGGTAGCCGGCTTTTTCAGGAATGCACGTCCTCTTCACTATGTCTGTCTTTGTAATACAAAATAAACTCGTTGTGAATAGATGATAGCTAAATTATAGACCAAAGCGAATTTCCAGAAGGGCCCGTAAGCGTGCTCCCTCCAGGAGGATGTCAGTGGCTAGCTCTGTCTGGAGCTGGCCTCTAGAATCAGGGGTGGAATGGTCAGAGCACCAGCCTGGCCCAGTGTGGCAAGGAAGAGCTGTGTCAGTATCGTGGTATCTCGGTTGACCAACAGCCTCTGCAGCAGACGGGAGGGCCCGATACACGCACAATTTTAAGTGACACCAATTAGTGCTGGCCTATTGGCCTATTCTTTTAGCTATCGATTATAGTAAGACACTATATATAACAATGCAAGGAAGCCCATAAATGAGTAACGGCCAGGGGCATAACACATTAGAGTACAAATCTAACACTCACAGCAGCAAACACAATGCATAATAAAAATAAGCATGCTTGCTGAGTGTGTGTCATAGGCTGTCACAGTACCGGAGTTCTGCATGCGGTATTATCGCTACTCAACAGGTTCACGCAACATAAGCAACTCTCTCATTCTCTGCACTCTCTTAAGAGGTCCCCCAGTTACTAAGTGACTAGTCCTGGAGGTGGGTAGGGGCAGAAAATTCTCAATTAGTTATGTTGAGAAACCATGGCATAGATCAGACGGTATCAGGCATAACCAAGAAATCAGATGTGTAGAGAAGCAGATAGGGATCTGGAGGGAGGTGATGGAAAAAATATGATGAAAACATACTGTATGAGATTCTCAAAGGACTTTCAAAAATCGTGGCATGATTCTTGTGCTGAGGTGCTGCGGATGCTGACACGGCATTATTCCGGGGAGCAGCTTAACGGCTGGGAAATCACAGAGAGTGGCCTGAGACGAAGCGCCCTTTGCAGCGGAGTAGGGCTACAGAGGCCTGTTGGGTGCACCACTGGAGACCTGTGAAAGCTTTTTCTGTAGAGAAGGGCTGGAAGGCCTTACATTCACCACAGAGACTGAGACATTCTCTCCCCTCCCCCGCCACACAGAAGAAGTTACTACTGCAAAGAGCTGCTACTCAGAATCACTGATGCCCATCTAACACAGTCTCCCATTCGGAGGCTTTAATGATGGAGGCCATGCATTTGTTTAATTTTCAGCATCCTAACACCACTTTAATGACTCTTGATGCCCACTGTTGCACAGCGTCCTCTTCCCACCTCTCTGGCTTGTTGGTCCAGTTTGGACAGAGACAGCTAACAGGGAGCCTCCTTTTCAGTAGTCCTGGTACTGGAAGAAAGGTTGTTCTCCTCTACCTTCCATCACTAATCAACGCATGCAGTCACACATCATTTGCCTATGTGCTGATGTCATTCTCACCCTCTTTGCTCCAAACAGAATCGCTGGAGCACCACTAGAACGAAATAGTTTCTGATTCATCCAGGCAAGGCATGCAAGGGCCTAGATCCCGATGATACAGACTGTGAGGTTCAAAAGAATATATTAAATGACAAAAACATACTTTGCAGAGGAAAATCCTGGTGGAGAATTTAAGAGACGATACCGACGAAAGATGAAAGAAAGCAGAAAGGAAGTGGGGAGGCGGGGCTTTCAGACACAATTGTTTTGAGCCTCAGAAGCAAGGACATGAATCTCCTGGGAGCATGTCAGTGTTGTGACACAGTGACAGCCTGTATTCTCTGCAGAAGACTAGTCAATGCAAGAGCAGAAACTTACTGATGCCGGCCTGTCACTCACAACCGCTTGCTTTCACTCCTGTCTATAGGCAAGCAGGTGTGTGTTTAAGAGCACAGATGGTTCTACAGCCTAGTCACATTAAAACAAACAAACAAACAAAAACAAAAACCTAGCTCTTAAAGAGGCATCAACCACTGCAAACTTATCTTTGCATCTGTACTGGGGAAATATGACTCTAAAAGGAAAACAACAACAAATATTGAAAATTTCTGGGCTGGCTAGTTTTACTTCAACTTGACCCAAGCTGGAATCATCTGGGAAGAGGGAGCCCCAGCTGAGAAAATGCAAGCTGAGCAAGCCCAAAGCTAAAAGACAACTGCAACAAGCAGGATATTCTGATTTTTGGACAGATCCTTTTACCTCACAATGAAAGGAAACAAAATAAACACCATTACCAACTCACAATGCCAATACTATGAGATATCACTGATCACAGTAACATGTGGTAGATTTGAGTTGAGACTATGTAAGACTAGATTTTAGCATCTGAAGGTAAGCAGAAACACACATCGTGAGTGTTTTCAGAGCAGCACTCTGAAGGCAACTAGGCCTCTGTGTTTCATTGAGGTCAGTCAGTGTGTGGGAGGAAGCTGCTCAGGGAAGCTGACACCGAATCCCTGCATTTGGCGTCCGCCTGGGAGACCCCTCTGCTTCTCTGTTCTCCTTCCTTCCTCCTCAGGGCCACCTCATCCCCAATACTGTTTTGGTTTCCCTTGTTCCCAGGACCCACTCTGATGACAGGAGGCCAGGGGCAATTCTCCAAGCCCCATCTTCAGATTTTACAGGCCTAACGCTCAGCAGCAGCAGACAGTTCTGGCACCCTGGCATCTGCGTGTTTGCTCTGCTCTCAGACTCTGTCAATCTCCTAGGATCTGCTTCCTCCTAAGTCAACATCAGCCTCTGTCTTTGTTTCAGAATGTCTGGTCTGCAGCTGTGGCTAGAATCTTGGTGTCCTACCCTTGTGGCGCATTGTGATCCCACTTTCCTCAAAATGCTCTTCTGTGGTCTCAACCCATGTCTCCTGAACTCATCCAGGAAGCACAGATTCACTTCCCTCATGCCATCTTCTTATTTTCCAAGGGCTGCATCCCATTGTTTCCTCTCCCTCATCCCATTGAGATCCTGATAAGCATCCTAGACTCTCCCTACTTGGCTTCAATTTGTAGAGTATGGATTCTGCTGGCTGTAAGCTCAGAGTCCTCTGGTTCTGATAACCAGGAAGTATCACCCCACACCAGCAATGTCTGTGCAATCATTATTTCATCTCCAAGAATTGAATTTTGTTCCTGTTTCTGACTGTGTTACTCTGCTAAAGATAATGAGCCATTCCCTGTCAGGTCCTGGAAATGGGAAGTTGGGACCTTAGAAGCCATAAGTAAGTCACAATTTACATGGTGGCAGCCTCCAATTTAAAGTGTAGCTATAGTCTCAGGATGGCTGGGGGCCGGGTGAGGCTGAGGGGCCATCTTCTCCCTCCCCTCACAATCTCTACGAACCAAGTTCCCTCTACTTTCCAAGTGTTTATTTTGCTTTTTACGACATCATGGAAAGAAATGGAAGGAGTACAAACAACAAACAGTGAGGATGTCGGAGCCCCCTGAGAGCTGCCCTTCAAAACATAAATAACAACCTAGTAGTCAGCAGAATTGTGGGAAGTGTCAAGTCCTTGACAACCTTCCTTCTCCTCCTTAGAAGTAAAGTGGCCTGAAATAGGCAAGTGGCTCCCATGAGGCCTGGAGAGGCAGGAATCTGCCCTATCAAGCCCGGAATCAGACACACAGCTAGGTTTCAAGGGGTTCGGCTCCAAATGCAACCATGAGTTCTACTCTTTGTGTTATTTTAGTGAGGCACTTAACTTACTAAACTGAATCATTCGTTTCTCTTCCAGAGGAAGAAAAAATAACGCTGAAAGCCATACCCCTAGCTGAGGGGTTTGAGTCTAAATTCACTGCATGGAGGCAGATGAGGGGCAACTTCCTTTGAAAACTTTTTAAAATGGAGAGTGTGAGAGCCTTCGCCTCTCAG